CACACACACACACACACACACACACACACACACACACACACACACACACGATGGTTGCGCTCTAGTCCAACATGCCGTAGATCAACCGGACCAGTTTATTCAGAACACTGGCTACTCTCACAACCAGAGTGAGCTCATAAGACCTATAAAACAAGGGCGTGGAGCTAATCTGTCCGAAAAATTGAATGAAAAACAAAAATGAAAAAAGGGCCGAAAGGGGGTGAGCGGAGGAAACGAGGTCACAGAGTGGAGAAACAAAGCAGGGGGAAGAAAAGATCCTGAGATCTCACAAAAGAATTACAGATGGAAGTCTTGTTGACAGAAGACAGCATGTTTGTGTCGGAGAGAGCTACAAATGGTCCCGTGGATATACATTTCATTTTAACGAGGGATTCCGATGCGTTCCTCTCACCAAGACAAACAGACTCTGAGAACGAGGGGCTTTGGACCTTGTGGTGGGCCCGCTGGGGGGATCCTGTGTCTGACCCAGGAGAACTCTCCACCGAGCCAAAGACGCAATACAATGAGAGCCAGAGCCGCAGAGCTGACTGACTGTCCTTAATGAAGTAACAAGTCTTTTTGGGGAAGATGACTGTCCCTGTTTGAGTCTTCACAATACCACGGCTGTGGTTGATTTCGCCCTCCCAAGAAAATTACGTCCTTTGTGTTTTCTGAACCACTTTTCCTTAACTTAGATGGACGACGTCATGAGGTCAAAGAAAGGAAAAGACAAGCGAGATGCTAAGAGAACGTTTTGTAGCCCAACAGGAAGTTCACTCAACAAAAGTCCAATGAGATCCTTCCATTAGATTTTAGATTATTGCAGAATAAACACTTATGATACTTACAGGTTTTGTTGATCAAGATAATCTTTATCTTCAAACCAAAAACACAATAAAAAACCGGCGGAAACCGACGGAACAGGAAGTGCTGGCTTATTTCCTGGTTTTAGGACTCATTACTGCAGCTCTCTATTAAGCAACTGTGGACATCGTTGACTTCGGTTTGCCACAAGGAATTGTGGGGCGGTATTATCTGCTCTCCTTTAGTTAATAACGGTCCAACGTGCCCTATGCTAAAGGAGACAAGAAAGGAAGCATTGAAGTAGCTTTCCTTAGCATTAAGATCATTGAAAACAGCTCTTATTATGGCTGCCATTTGGATTCAGTTCGGCACCTTTCTATACGAAAAACATTAGATTTACATTGTAAATATAAAGTTGAACTTAATGTCACAGTTACAGTCGTCGCTGCATGGACAGACACTCCCGACGGTGACATCTGCATCAGTCATTTCCTCCCAGCATCCTCACCAGGAGAACAGACTCTCCCTGCTGGTCTCTTGGACCTCCTCCCTGCCTCAGACCCCAGCCAGCGTCTCGCCCTTCGGGACCACTCAAACACGATCTCACCACACATTTTTCTTCTTAAATCATTGGGAAATCAAATAGCTCTTCCAAGTTGCAGTCATCGGAACCGCCAAACAATGTTTGGGATTCTTTCCTGGCCCGAGGAGTGAAAGACAAAGGACATCAACGGCTTCTTGTTGAAGTGCTCAGGGCTTTCTCTTTCAACTCTCACTTTAGAGCTTTCGATGGGCTTCACTTCTGTCCGTACATGTCCAGGAGGATGTTCATGTGATCCTCAGGGATCTCAAAGAAGCATGCCCGATTTCAGCCAATTACATTTCTATTTAGACCAAAGATGGCTGGAAGTAACTAACGTCCTCTAGTGACGGATCATCACATGTTCAGGCCGTAGTTTGGGAATGAGAGACGAGCATCTCAAGCCTTTCTTAAATTGAGTCATTTGAGGGATTTTAAAAAAAGGTTTGTCCAAGATTTCCCAGGAAAAATAGAGAAAATAATGTTGAGTTTCCTTTGGCTCAACTCACGAAGATAAATCCTCAGATTTGTGTTGGGAGACCTTGGGGAGGTCCCGATCCCCAGGTGGAGAACCACTGGTCTAGAAGGACAGATATCAGGCTGTTCGTAGATGAACCTACAAAAATGAATGTGCTGTAATTTGTAGATATCCCACAAAATCTATTTCTATGTAATCGTGAACCAGGAAATGTATAAAGACCGAAAAACCCCCACACAGCGTTGGTGAAAGGGGAGGTGGATGGTCTCTTTAACACGGGAGACCGTGTGAAACAAGTCAACGTCCATCTGTCACGCAACCTCCGTACTTAAGAAACGCAGCTTCAGTAGTTATTTTACCCCAAACCACAATCTTTTTCCGAAACCTAACTAAGAGGTTTTGTCGCCTAAACATAACTAAGTATTTCACCGTCTTTTCTTAAACCTCATCAAATGTTGTTGCCTAATCTTAAAGAAATTGTTTCCTGTGTATGTAACAAGTGGAAATTCAGGCTTTTGTAGGAAAAGCAGGAAAATTGAGGAGTAACTTCTTCTTAAGATGTATTATGAACCGTTGTATGAGGATACATTAGAGAGTTATGCATTAGTCCTGAATAGGTATTCACATTGTTTTGTCCACAGAATGTCTTTACTTCAGTTAGTTTTACTTCTTTACTTTGGTCTTTTCTGTGCTTTAAACAGTGCTACAAAGAACAAACTGGAAGTTATTCCACGGTACAAACATGAATGAACTTGCAGATTAAGTACAATTCCTGCCATCACAAATCTCTTCACTTATCTTTGCAGCATAGACAACCCCCCCCCCCGCATGTGTGCAAACTGTAAGTGATGTTTTCATGGGCGAGAGGAAGCATGCACTGTAACTGGGTCTCTTCAGGAGATCTATAAAAGCTGCTGTCAGCTGCATGCCACGGCGCCAGAGCAGGAAATAGAGTTCTTTGGTACAAAACTGACACTGAAGTGAGGGAAGACTGGATGAAGCTCATTCCAGCACTGAAGCTGAACAAAGCCCGACTCACAGAAATAAACTAATAGCACCATGAAACCGCCCCAGTTGATTACTTACAAGTTTTCTGAAAATGTTATGTTTAAATATGCAATCGAGGTATTAGAGGATCATATATTTGCTATTATTCATACATTTACAGAACATAAATCTGAACATTGGATAAAGCTGCAGGTTCAAAATTCTTGTTTCATGTTGTTGACACATTAGAGTCAAAGGAATCTTGAATATCTCTTTTTATCACTCCATAAACAAGACAATACTGTCAACAGACATAAAAAACATCCATTTCCTCCATGTTTTATTAATAAATGTATAAATGAGTGTGTGAGTGGTGTGTGAACTAACCCCTCTGTGTGAACCTTCAGCACACAGAGAGGAATGAAAGTGTAAAGTTTGGTGTATGTAAGAGCTGCTGAAGTGGAGATTTCTGGATCCTTTAAAGAGACGTTTAGTTACATTACAGACATTCTTTTGGTGAAATCTTCAGACGCAAATAGACAAAGTAGTAAAATAAATGTTTTCTTTCCACTAGCCTGAAAGAAGACGTGTTATGGAGGTAACATTTTAAAGGATATCTTTCAACAACAGCATTATGGAACTATAAAAAGCCATCCGTCGTTGTCCCGAGGAAACTTTATAAAAACTCTCTTTAAGACTCCAACAGAGCGCTGCTGAAGTCGTGAGGCGCTTAAGGTCCACAGAGCAGGTTTAGGGGCGGCGCTCCCGGCCTGAAACTACAGAATTACTGCAGTAATAACAGGAAGCCATCGTTGTTATTATTACACACCATTACTGAATGCACCGGTCCTGCTGCCACGCTCTAATGCCACCATTACACACTATAGAATAACAATGGCACCGCTCGGTCAACACAATGCTCACTTCAGGGCCTGCAATTACTCAAATAAGGACTTTAAATCACTAAAAATAGAAAACGTAGCATTTATTTGCTCTCTGAATAGAATCAGCAGAATTTCTGATGCCAAATA